TTCTTCAAATGCGTCATTTTCCTTTAAGTCTTCGGGATGACATGAAAACCCAATACCACGAAGGAAATCATCGGTAGATTCATGAAAGAATTCACATGCACGAGGCCACATCACTCTCTCTCTCACAATGCTCTCCGTATCTTCAGCTGGTACGATAGACCGCCGTCGGTTTCCGCAGGTTGGTAATGAGCTCATACTCTGAACAGCATATTCCGTCAATGAAAATGGCTCAAAAACGCCTTCGCACTCAAAGGATATATCGCTGTATCGGGGAACTTAGACAACAAGGTTCATAATTTTCATGTCGGGTAAGTAAAAATGTCGATATGTACGACTTGCATTCTTTCTAAAGAGCCACACAGCTGTGGACTGCAAGACAAGCAGACCTTATCCCCTGAACCCTTTTCTATCTGATTTTTCTGGGGTTTTCTTGGGTCCCGATTTTTCTACATGCCTATCAACGGCGTTCATCTCTAGACGCGTGAGACCTCCTATAAAGCGAAGCGACGTTTTTGTACTCCCAGAATCCTGCAGGCTTTTGATTCTCTATCCATTCAGTCAGAAATGCAAAAGAAGTTCAAGGCTGGAAGATCCAGCACGAGTAAGCGAGGTACCGTAGGTACGTGGGTGCGTAACCGGTGTCTCATACGAAGCCCAGGGCCGCTTCTCTCGCGAAGTGCTGCATCCATGACATTTAATATCCTTGTTACGTATTTTTTATAGATACAGTACATCATGATTTTAGTCCCGTTTTAGCGGACCCCCATTTTAGTGGGTTGCCCTTGTGGGTGGCCCGATCATTGTGCTGATCACTTTGGATAGAACCGGAACGGATAGAACTCTTTTTATCGTACGCTGTACAGTCCGGGTACCCGTACATCACTGCCAGAACGATGAATCACTCTCAACGTCCATTGCATGGTTCGACGTTTGTCGAGAAATCCATCACCCGTCATTGGCAAAGAAAATTTCAACTCTTTTTGAAAGGGCGCAACTGACTACAGCACGGCAGATAAGCTTCTCATAGGTTTGACGAAGTAGAAAGAGTTCAAAAAAACTACAAGTGAGACTAAAATAGAAAACGGACAAAGAGATGCTGGTACAGATACTCATACTGTACCAATTACTGTAGGTCTAAACCTCAACCTCAATTTCGAATCCCTTTTTCTGCAGGTTCGAAACTCATTTTGAGTTTCGAGTCCCTTTTTTTTGGTACTCGAAACTCAAAATGAGTTTCGAACCCCTTTTTTGGTACTCGAAACTCAAAATGAGAATACTGTGCATGTGAACAGTACAGTACCTACCCCGCCCCTGAAGCGCCCCTGCGCATGATTCGAGGCCATTCTCATTTTGAGTTTTGAGTCCCTTTTTTCGGGGGTTCGAAACTCATGAGTTTCGAGTCCCTTTTTTTTGGTACTCGAAACTCATTATGAGTTTTAAGCCCCTTTTTTTTGGTACTCGAAACTCAAAATGAGTTTCGAGCCCCTTTTTTTGGTACTCGAAACTCATTATGAGATTTGCACCCCCCTTTTCAGGTTGCCAAACGCAACATAAACACACGCTACATGTGAACATTTCAGATCCTGCTGCGCCCCCAGAAAGGCCCTGCACGTGATGCAAGGACAGTATCAACTTGTGTGTTTGGCAGCCAATTGTTCGGGGCGCTAACCTCAATATGAGCATGCCATACCGACAGCTCGATTTGCACATGGTTTTCGCACAGCGAGCAGAACCATTTTACTACTATGCGGCATGCTAGAAATAGGATTCCGCATTCATGAGCGTAGGTTCGAAATCTTTGGAACTGCTTTCCCCAAACGCGTCGCAGCGCATAGTCCATGCATTCAAAAGCGTAGGAAAGGGGATATATGATCTTGCATTCCAAATAAAGTTCACGCTATTTTTTCGTTTAAGATATCATTGCTTACTTCCACTTAATAGAAACGACAGCATGGAGGCCTTTACATGCAAGGGCGGCGGCGTTTCGTTTCACTGGGGAAGCGAAACTCGGAGAGGGCCTGTCATCCTTCGTTTGGTGCTTGACAGCGGGATAGCCCCACAGCCTCGACAGACTCATACTGCGCCCTGTAGCAACTTGCGGGCTTTAGAACTGAGACTGGACGTGTAGCGAAAAAGGGGTTATGGAAGTGGGGACACTTTGAGTTGGCTCCACGCCTCGAGGCTTTCTTTTTCTGCCGAGGGCTCCCTTTCTTGAAGCGTATCGAAGGCCCCAGCGGGCTCACCCGCTGTGGCTATAGCCCCGCCAAGGTCAGATTTCTCACCTGGCGATCGACCCCGTGAGGGGTCGACTCTGTCCTCTCGGCCTCGACGGACGCAGATCGCGCTATTTTTCCTGTCTGCACATGTCGGTCAGACACAACTCGGAGGCTAAAAAATCAGTTGAAATGTCAGATCCCCGATTTGTCTGTCTAGAAAACGAAACACAGAGCGACACATACCACACCCGTTCTTGACAACAGCAAGCGGTCAAGTGTGAAAGAAACCAAAGCGCAAGAAAACAAAACAGTGACGATTTCGAAAAAACCAACGCGCAAGAAAACAAAAGAGTGACGTCCGTGAGAATGATGGTGGGCGCTCGATATAAAAAACTTCGGGTCCCTTTTTATATGGAACCTAAAAATCGAACTGTTCGCAGCAATACGAGAGGATTGTTCCGGTTTCGCGCGCTTTTATCCGTAAGTAAACGTTAACTGTCAAGCAAAGCGAGGAACAGTAAACCTATACTCGATATCATATCGTCGAATAAACAATCACATGTCACTCAGTTTATAATGACTGTATGACATGTCTCGTAAGCCATTAAAGGCCATACAGTAAACGTTAACCTGGTTGCGGGTAAATGTTTACCCGGGAATGTTAAGGAGTGAACATTTACTCGCAACCATCAACTCGACACCGGGTAAATGTTAACCTGGTTGCGGGTAAATGTTTACCCGGGAATGTCACCGAGTAAACATTTACTCGCAACCATCAACTCGACACCGAGTAAATGTTAATCTGCTTGCGAGTAAATGTTTACTAGGTAAAATTCTTGAGTAAACATTTACTCGCAACCATCAACTCCACACCGAGTAAATGTTAATCTGATTGCGAGTAAATGTTTACTAGGTAAAATTCTTGAGTAAACATTTACTCGCAACCATCAACTCGACACTGAGTAAATGTTAATCTGATTGCGAGTAAATGTTTACCCGGAAATGTCACCGAGTAAACATTTACTCGCAACCATCAACTCCACACCGAGTAAATGTTAATCTGATTGCGAGTAAATGTTTACCCGGAAATGTCACCGAGTAAACATTTACTCGCAACCATCAACTCGACACCGAGTAAATGTTAATCTGATTGCGAGTAAATGTTTACCCGGAAATGTCACCGAGTAAACATTTACTCGCAACCATCAACTCCACACCGAGTAAATGTTAATCTGATTGCGAGTAAATGTTTACTAGGTAAAATTCTTGAGTAAACATTTACTTGCAACCATCAACTCGACACCGAGTAAATGTTAATCTGCTTGCGAGTAAATGTTTACCCGGAAATGTCACTGAGTAAACATTTACTCGCAACCATCAACTCGGCACCGAGTAAATGTTAATCTGCTTGCGAGTAAATGTTTACTCAGGAATTTTACCGAGTAAACATTTACTGTAAGCAGCGTTGTAACTGTAATTTGTCCTTTGTTTTAATTTAACGTCTCTTTACTTACAGCATCGGTGTATGCCGTTTGTTTAACTTAATGTGTACCTTATCATATACCTTACATCTTTATTTACAACAGAGCTAAGACCCCTTGCAATCACGTTACCGCCGTCAGCCCCCCTCCCGTTCCCCTCCTCACGAACCCCCTCCTCCATGACTCCGCCTTCCCCGCCCACGCTCCACTCCTACCTCCTCGGTTCCTTTGTCCTCCTGCTCGGCCTCCTGCTCCCGATATCACGCCCGCTCATGCGCCACGTGCTCCCGCTGCTGACCTCGCCCAAGCACCCGACGCCCGCGACCTAACCATGCCGCGCCCGACCCTCTTCGTCGCACCCACGCTGTGCCTCTCCCCGCTCACGCACCGCCGCATCGCGATAACTACCCCGCCGCTGCACGCGCCGCGCCTGCTGCCGCTGCTGCCGCCCGCGCGGCCTCTGTGCCTGCCGACCATCTGCACGCCGCCGCTGCCAGACCCGGCCCCGCTGCACGCCGCGCTGCTCGACCTGCCGGCCTTCGACGTGCTGGCCTTCACCTCGCGCGTGGGGATGCGCGCCGTCTTCGCCGCGCTGCAATCTGTGTGCGACGGCCAGATCGCCGACCGACTACTAATCCTTAC